ACATAGTTCTGTATAATATATATTAATATAATATATATTGCCACTGATGGTGATATATATAAATAATATAATACTGTACTGTCTTTATATAATATATTTATTTGAATTCCTTACATCTACCTTAAATACATATGATACATCAAGGTGCCAAGCCTTAATTACAATTTCCCCTAAACTAAATCTACCCTTTGGGGAAATAAATATGTGTCCCCAACATTTAATACAGTCCATGTGTGCTGTGGGAAATAAACTGTACTTTAAATGAAACTTAATCAATAACAGAAGACATTCCATTCACACAAATAGAATATCTTAAATTATCTATTTACAATTTACATTGTTATAGAATAATTATTAATTAGTATTATTTAAACATTAATATTTAAGTTTAAAATACCTTAATATCTATTCCACACCAATCCATCCACCAACATGAAAGTTCAACCAACTTGATGCAAAATTACTTTGGCTTTAAGTAAAAATATCAATTTAATTATTAACATCTTTTGTTTTTATTACTGTAGTTTCATCTTTGTAATAATTTATATATTTACGTGCAAGTCAACACAATCATAATTACTTTTTCCACAATTCTATTTATTTAAATATTCAGGAGTGTAAAATAAATCATTAAAATAGATCACAATAATAAAAAATACATTACATATTTTGGCATTAATTGATTTATTTATAACATCAACAGCTGCTCATGAGACCATCAACATAACTAACTTTGACTGAAGCTTGTCAACATGAGTAAATCCAGCTCAGATACCAGTCTAGCGTGCTCAGGTCTCAACCAAATATATACAGCGTGTCTAATTTATGATTATGGCACCTCTATTGTGTATATTATCATAATTTTTTTCAATGTACATAAAGGGGAAGAAACAGGTGAATGAACGGTACATTAAAATGTCCCCGACAAGTAAAAAAATAAATACATCTAAACAATAAAAACAAAAAAGTAAACAAAATAAATAACATTAAAAATGACAAGCACATAGGACACACATGGATTCTGAGACTCAAAATCAAAGTTATCTATTCTGCATTTTGGACACTTCCTACCAACTGTGCAGAAGCTTGTGTCTCAAATGACTCAAATGTACTAGTGATTGTTAAGTCAAAATAGAGGAGGTCCAAAAAAAGACTTTTTACAGAAATTGGGTCAGTACCACCTTAGCCCTACTATGGTTTAATCTGACATTAGAAAATTTATGATATGGCACCTCTAAATGGCCCTCAGACTTAAATTTGAATGTAATTTTCTTTTTTCTCCACTTTTTATTAGTTATTTAAAAATATTTAGGTGGTGGGAACGGGGGAGGCTGGTTGTGAGTATATTTCCTGTCAGATAATTTGCTTCACTTTTTGTGTTGTGCATTTAAGTAAAAACAAATGGATAGAAGCATTACCCATTTTAGTGTCGTGAATTTTTAAAACTCAGTAATTGTATCTCCAATCTGCCTATTTGAAAACTATATTCGATCCTAAAATTTTACCTTTCCCCTGAATTCCCCCTCCCCAGATTCCATATGCTGTCAGAACTACTGGTTATGTCCATTTTTGCACATGAGGCTGACAGCTGAGCTGAATTTGCTTCTATAACAAATTACTTTCTAATATACTGTAATTTGGAATATTGATTCAAATTTTAATTTGTATTTATATCTTTCCATATAATAATTCAATATTATTTTTATATTTTTATTTACATAATTTTGTCATACTTTCTATTCACATTTGTTTGGCCAATTTGTTTATAATAAAATTTGGAAGAATTATTCAATTTGTTTTTATTTAATTTCCATATAATTCAATATTTTATATTTTTATTTACATAATCGCTGTACTTTTTATTCACAATTTTTATTAAGCCAATAACTTTTAACATATTTTGGAAGATGAATTAAGTTAATTTTGTATTTCCAAAAAATACAATATTTTGTATTGTTATATACATAATCTCATTCTAATTTTTGGTTATTCCCTTTTCACACAAAAATTATATATACAAATATATAATATATACGCTAATCATGTATTCATTTGCATATAGCCGCCTTCACTTTAAAATTCATAATTTACAATTACTCCACTATTTAAGTAAGTACTGTTTTGTATAGTACATGATTAAAATCAATTTGAATTTGAAGACTTAATCTGATCAAGTTGGTTGAACCATCATGTTAAACTCTATCCATACTATTAAGTTTTATGTCACAAATGCATACTATCAATCCATATTTTACAACATAAATCCTGATAGTGGAAATAGCTTGAGGTGAAATGGATTATTTGATTATTTTGTTTTTATTTCATTTTATTTTAAATTATCAATTATTTAAAAACCAACATTTAAAGAATCACCTAGAATATAATATTTTATAATGAATCTAACAGTTTATAATTTTGTAAGTATTACATCCTAGCTGACCTAAAAGCAACAAAAATGAATTAAAACCTTAGAATTTAGAAAACCTTCTTTGAATTATACCTTAATAACATGGTTTAAACACTCTCTGGATCAGTGACAACAAAATCTATAGAAGGAATCTCTGTTTTAAAGGGACCCCAATCTTTTTAAGCCCCAGATGCTCCTTTGCTATATACATTTTCCACCTAATTTATGTACTTAACAATTTTTCAATACCTTATCAACATATCCTTATTCTAAATCAAGGTGTACTTACATGAATGTCTTAATTACAGTCCAGTGAGTTTCTATCTATTTTTTTTAATTATTATTATTTATATTTTCTTACATTTCTATCACAACAAAGTAGCACAAAATTTTATTTTTCCTTTTTTTTCTTTAAAGATTACTTGATTAAATGACTATTCTAAGACACTGATTGGTTATGGTATTCTAAGGCGATACTGTACTGATGCACTTTAGGATATTAGATGATTACGTAGTTGTTGCCAGCATCGATAATTACACACAGCAGCCACATCAGCTTTATCCCAAAACATAAAACCCAGATATCTCTGTTATAAGAAAAAATGTACACGTATATAATATTAAGAATAGTCATCAACTGCAATTCAGATGCAAACTTTCAATACATCTTTAAGCTCTAGTAAAGCTCATCGAATTTAAACTTTGACAAATAAACTGTATGTCCATAGTCATTATATGCCTATAAGGTCATTATGTAATGTCATCATGACCATATTTAGTCATGATATGCCTATATGGTGATGATGTAATGTCATCATGACCATATTTTTTTTTTTGATCTTAACAGAGGGCTTAAGAATGACATTCATCTGGGAGTAGCAGGAGTGGTGCCACCCCTGGGAATAGCATATGAGTGGTGGATAGTGATGATGATAGTAATGTTGACAATGATGATGAAGTTGATAATAATGAGAGTGATGATGATGATGATGATCATAATGACAATGATGATAATGTCAATGAAAATCTTCCTAGTACAATCTTTTTTTAGTGAATATTTACCTAATGTCACCTGGTGCTAGGCCAAAGGCTGAACCTGCGTGGGGATGAGTGTGCTTTCTTCTGGTCTGTGCTACTGGATGCCTGTTGTTGCTTTTGGTACTTCTCCTCCTGCTTGCTCAGCTCGGACTTCAGTCGCTTGTTAAGAAGTTCATGAATGTCAACCTGAATTTATATTTAAACAAAAAAAATTCATTTTCATTATTTGCATATAAAGAAATTCAACATACATTCTTGGGTTTTGTAGTCTTATCAAAGTTATAATTAATATAATTAATAATTTAATATCTTAAAAATGTAGCAGCATATACAGAGAGAACATATTTCACAAGAGGTCATGGAATGGCTTGGATACTGCCTAGTTTCAACCAGCAAAGCTAGCATGCTTAACGATACACCTTGACCACAAGGATAAACATCACAAATAGTAAAAGGTGAATACAATTAAAATCTGAATGAATAAGAAATCACAACTTAATTATTAAGGACTAATGAGGGTTCAATTTTAACCTCTGCTTCATTTCACATGTTGACTTTCAAAACCCTGCCTGTACCCTAGGCTCCTCAAAACATAAACACACTCCTGATACAAATAACAGAAATTATTTATAGAACTGCCATTCAAATAATATATTCAACATCACTAATATAAAGAATCTTAAAAACATTTATCTAAAACTTAAACAATATTTTCGTAGCTCAATAATAAATACTGATTTGCGACAGCAAATGAGTGTTGCGTGCAACCTTAAAAATCTCTGACATTAACTCAGTAAATTAATATGGTACGCTCTACTTTAGACACTTTGACGTTGAATATAAAAGCAATTTATTGTAATTGTTCTACATAGCCAGGGGCTTACCTGCCATTCATCCAACTGGTGCGAAAGGGTCGCCTTTTGTTGGATTGTGCTCAGAAGTTGTGCATCAAGAGCCATCAGATCTTTCTTGGTAATTTCAATCTCTTTTTCTGATTTGTCAATCCTGCAAAAACGCAAGACAAATGGTTATTGAAAAGAAATGGTAACCGATCAATATTGTATTTTTTTTTTTTAAATGTCACTAATAATTGCTTTCATAGCCTTGAATAATTATTCTATATAATTGCTAAAGTGTTGTGATTTTTTTCAAGGTTAATGCCACTTTTTATAAATGTCTTCCTATTTGATTCTTAACAACACATATCAATAACAGGCTGCAACTGGACCATTATTCAAACTATTTCTCTAAGCTATGTTACTTACGAGCTTAGGGGCGTATTTAGAGAGAAAAGTTCCTATATAAAATACATGAAAAATAAAAATAATCGTACAAATTTTATTATTTTAAAAGAAATAAACAATTATTGTTAAAATAATTAGAAGATAAAATAAGCTATTAACTTGCAATGAAACAGATTTAAACAAGTATCTTTATAAAAAAAATATTTTCAACAAAGCTAAAATCTTTCATAAATACACAGACTAAGCTATTCAATCATTGAATATTGTTGGCATGGAGAGTATGCCTATAATGTATTTGCAATTATCATGATTAAGATTTCTTGCATTACTAAGTGTGTGACAATCTATTTAATAATAATTATAATTATAAAAAAAAAGTGGGATTTGTATAGCATATAAAGGAAGTATGAGAAAAAAATTAAACAATAAAAAGAAAATAAAATAATTGTATTAATCTGACTAATGCTAAAATCTTAATCTAGATACACTACCTCGCCTGAGCTTTGTCACGTTCTTCTTGAAGTTGAAATATTAAGAGATCTTTTGACAGATTGTCTTCTTGCTTAAGTTCAAGTTCCTGTAGTATGGAATCATGTTCAGATATCTACAGAAAACAATCAAATAAAATACAGAAAATGTATACAGAAATGGATGATTTACAATATAAACTAAAAAAAATCAACACCAACAAAATTTAATCATTAATGATTATAGAAATACAAATTAAAAGTATATAAGTTTGATATATGTTTTATATAATAAATTAAAACAAATGATACCATAAATATATAAATATTGAATATGCAAACACTCAGCAATGTAAAACACAAAGCTCATGCATAACAAAATTACAATATTCAACAAAACCACAAATACTGACATCTTATTGGCTAAATACAAGTGCATATTCATCTATTATTTGCATACATTAACCTTTGACACCAAAGCATATAAAGCTTATTGAATTTGTTGTTGACATGGAATGAGTGCTTGATGATTGGAAGAACTGTTCTATTTTCTCTATAGTAGAATGCAGATGTGACCATTGTAGAATAAATTTGTCACCTTGGGAAACATTTCCTTCAACGATTGCCAATAATTATAATAAAAAAATAATCATTCATAAATCAATAACATCAATATATGAAAGAGTAACTTCTCTGGGTTTCAAAGATAATGTTGACGGTTTACAAATTAAAATGTTCATAATCTATAATATTGTTATATTAATCATTATTAAATTTATGCACATATGTCTATTCCATTTTTTACAAATTGTATTTCTAATACAGCTAAAATCAAGGTTTGATTAGGAATCGTTTTTCTCTGTTGTTTAACATTTTTAAGTTAAATATAAAGGTAGGTAGGTGTGTTTATACAGTATGCTATATAAACACTAATTTGAATAGAATATTAGCAATAATAATAGTGCCACCAGGAAGTAGTAGTGGATATTGAATGTATTTCAACGTGTGGTACTCTTTCCTAACCTAATAAACTGAACATTAATTAAAGTAATGTTTCTTCATTTGTGTACTGAGGCTCTATGCCCTTTATATCAACAGAAAAATAATAACAAGTTATACTGTATGATTATTATATGTATTGTGAAAGAATAGTAATTACTGTATTACTTTTTTCAATTCAATATTCTCAAGGTTTTGTGTTAAAAAATTATTAAAAATATACTTCCAGTTAAAAAAACTGAAAATTTTATTTAATTGCTTAAATTTTATTGAAAACCAGAATGAGAAAATATTTCTGTTGCTATTTTATGCATAAATAATTCCACTCCTATCTTTATTGATTATATTGTGTATCTGCTATTCAATTTTTCTTCATGACCTAATTTGGAAGTGAAGGTCACACATCGAAGGTTATGATAACTATACTTTGCTGGTGGTAAATTAATAACAGATTTATAAAGTGACATTTCAAAAAAAATGATCAAATACGCCGCACTAGCGTGCGTGGAACAGGTGACTTTTCAATACTGATTGAAAAGATGATTATAGGTGAAATGAAAAAAAAAGCTGTTTATAATTACAAAAGAAACAGTGAATGTGAAAGTACACTAGCAAATGTGATGTGTTATTCCAAAGTACTATATAACATACTGCCAACACAATTTTCCAAATAACACCATTTATATGAACTGAATGTAATCATATTAATAAAAATAATAATATCCCAAGAATTAGTGCATTTTTATATAAAGAAATAAAACAACATCAATTATTATTTATTGTAAAACCCTAAAATTTATTGTGAATAAGATGAAATAAATATAATTACTTTTCATGCTGCTATGACAAGAAAAGTTTTCATGCAATGTCTCAGAAACCAAGTATCAAGTGCATACAGGAATGTGAGAAAAAATTGAATGAGTTGAGAATTGGATGTGCGAGACACCTACCTGATGAGCGGCTGCAACTTTCTCAGGGCTAAGAAACAGGTGCGAGATGTCGTGAGTACGGAAATGTTCATCAAACGATGTTACCTGTGTGTTTAAGCATGCCTGGTTTCAGATGGGTGGAAGAAAAGGATAATGGGAGTTAATGGTAAAGAGAAGCCTGAGAACAAAGATGGATGCAAGGGGTATAATCAGTGGCATAGATGAGAGTCTTGAAATGGAAGGGGGGGGGGGGGGAATGGGGCTACTTGATTAAGTGAAGGGGCACTAGCTTGCAAAATATGATATAAGGTGATTTTTAACTACTTGAGCGTGTTTTGCTTCAAACATTTCCAGTAGGAAGATCGACTGGGGAACAAGCTTTTTTGGGGGGAAGGAGGGGGCATGTGGCCACCCATTAACCCTCTAGATATACCATTGCGTATAATGAAAATTTAAATAATGACTTGTAAGTTTAAGGGTTGTTTGGTCTGATCACACAGATATCTATGCTATGACTGCTATTTTTTTAGAACTAGTCTACCTCTCTAGATTGACCAAAAAACAAACAGACACTTGGATAATATTTTTTTAACCAATAACAAAGCTAGCTTGAACTAGATTAAGCTCTTGTTCCAAAAAAATTATTTTGTTAAAAATGGTACAACTTGAAAATGGTAGCAACTGTATACCAGAGGTATCCATGATTTACTGAACTTTCAGAATTGGCTTTTGCAAAATGTGGGAATGTTATTTTTCTCATAATCACTTTAATTTTGTATACGGCTAAGACGTATGAGGAATAATAATGAGCACACTACCAAGATGACCATGGAATCCATCTACTTAATTGCAACACGCAAAAGTTATTATCTATTAATGAAGAACACTAATTGCAGCATTTGAAAAACAACTGGCCACCATCACTGCTAACTGTTAACAGAGAGATGAAAAGTTAATCATTCACTAATGACCTTAACTATAATGATTCCTACACAAACTGATTTGAGTGAAATCCAGTATCCTTCAGTACAGTAACATATTTAACAGGAGACAATCAACAATATAGCAATCCAGTAAAATTTCATTAATAATTATGGAGAGTAACAGCATGTTAGGAAAAAACATGTTTAGACTTGATATGATGAAGTCTAAACATGAAATAGATGCACAACACCATCTCTCTGTTGATATCTTTCCTCATTTCCTCCTATTCTATAAATGCCTTGGGCATTGCTTCAGGATTAATATGGTAATTTTCTGTTGTGGACAGACAATGAGTAACTGGTACTAGTTTACAGGGTAGCTCATGAAGAGACCCTTAGGGGAGAAGCAAGTTTACTGTATGAGCTAGTTCACACCTCAAGCGCTTTGAGACCTCAGTATAAAGCGCTAGTTGAAGCATATTGTAATATTTCAAAAACAAAATATTTTTTTTAGTATTGACTTTTATTACACTGTTAAAAATCTAAATTAATCTGAAGTGTTTCAACACTGCAAAACAGAAATGAAATATTAATGAATAGAATAGGTCTACATTACTACACAGAAGGCTGAGTATAGCCCTATATTTACACAGCATCAAACATGTCTCTCATAATGAAAGTGTACGAGGATCGTATGATCTTTTATTATAAATATATCTGCATCCGATGTTTTATATGATGTGTGACCATGCACAAATAAGTTAATTTCCTAAGGTTTATTTTGTGTGTGGTCCATTCTATTCCATTTCACCATGAACGACTTTTGTTAATAAATCTTTCCTTGTTTGCATGATAAATTAATCTTCAATCCTAGATTGTAATAATCATTAAAACAACAGAATGTACGTCAGCCATAATATCAAACCAATGTGACGTAATGTGGCAAAGGCTATAACTAACGACGACTACTCGATAAAGCTGATAGATCAGCAAAATCAACATTAAACAAGAGTGGCGCTTAGCGAAAAAATCATGTTTGGTGCAGCGCTTATTAAAGAGTGGCACTTATTAGAGGATTCTGGTGGATTATTTTTCAACAAAAAAAATTAAATATAAAGTATCATTATCATTAATCCCCAATATTTTTGTTTGTTTTTTCATGTTAAAAGTATGAATATATAAAATTTATAATAATAAATAAATCAATCAGAAGTGTTATATCACAGATACTAGATTACACATAATCAAACTGTTTAATATTTATTGCTAATTGGAAGATGTGGCTTATAATTATATTAAAATAGATTGCATCTTTGTTAAACATTGTTGTACGCATTGTTCTGCAGTTTTATTTTTGATATTGTAATGCAATCACTTACAGTCACTGGATGTTGGTTAGTAAATTGTATTTTTTTTAATTTATTGAATGATGAATTTATTATTATACCTACAAATAGTATATTTGAATGGCCCAAAGCAGAGAAGTAAGTATTTAATCTGCAGATCAACTAAGTGCTCAGGGTATATTATTGCTTGCATCATAAACTTCTCAATTTAAAAAGTCAAGAGGCGTACAAACACGAAGCACATCCACATAAGCCTCTACTTCATGAAGGGAGATACTGAACTGAATGAACAAACAAAAAAATAAAACATCTTTTAAAAAGATGTTTTCAACAAGGGATAGGAATCAGAGAGTTGAGACAGATGGTTCAGGGTTATTTTTGGTTGGATCAATAGTTCCTAGGTGACTGAAAACGGTAAAACTAATTTGATAGTGTTCCATCATATAAATGATTAAATCGTACTGCACTGCCAACTCTTTTCATTATGTTCTTTCATAGAACTAGCAATTTGCATTGTCATCTTTTCAAGGACATCATTTTTCAAAGGAATTTCAGCAATACAGGCATGCAAGTAAATCCCTACTGATATTAATCATATTATATTGTGCATGCATTATGAAAGCCCACTACAACATATTCTATTTTCTATGGATTTAGAAAAACATCGCCTATGCCGTAATAGATATTCTTCAATTTACAGTGTAATAATGATTTGTATGTTATTAATACCTTACAGCTAATAATATACACTATACGACTTAAAAATAGGTCATAAATGGTAGAAAAAATAAAACAAAAATGACCTTCTGCTGAATGTATTCAACAGTACCTTTACTTTACTTTAAAAACAACCTCATTTATAATGGATATTATTCAATTATTAGGTAATAATCGACTGTACATTTAATAGCTTAGAGCTACTAATATACAAGATTTAATAATAGCATTGCAGACATTTCTCCTTTGAATACAAACTTGGATCAATTTTGGAATACCTTGCATGAAAATTACTCAAAACACAGAAGGGTGGACTTATACCAGATGTGCTCTTCTAGCATTTGAGGAACCCTCATATACATATACCACGTTTCTTTGCTTCAGTTTATATTTGTCAAGAAATGTCTTCAGATAGCGATTAAGTATGCTTTTTTATCCTCCGCCTTGTAAAAAAATATTTTGTTTTGCATGGAAATAGAAAATAGAAAAATAAAAAATAATGCAATGGATACTGTAGCTTTGAAGTACGCTTACTTTCCATTCAAAAAAATAAATTAGAAATTGATGAAGTGGATGCAGGTGTGTTCCTCACAATGATAGAAGACAAGGTTTGTTATCACAATACTTTAGAGTGTTTGAATGTTTACTGACATCACAAGGGAAATCACAACTTGTCTTGAAGCTTGAAGTGAGCGCAGCTGCGTTGGTTTCAACAACGTATCTTCGAGTTGGGTGCAGGTGCGTCAATTTACCCCCAGTTATCAAGTACAGTAAAATCCTCATGAAGTTGAGTTTAATCCCATGAAGATGAGAAAATGTAGATCATGATGACCCTGATTATGCAGGCTGATTGGTGTTGTTAGTCACATGGTATCACAGCTTGTCTTTGTGTAATAATTATAATTACGCATAATTAGTAATGGCTGACTACACTCACTATATACACAAAGCCCATTGAAGCGAATGTTGAAAAGCTACTACTGTAAAAATCCTATTGAGATTGCAACAGACGTCACACCACTCAAAAATTCACTAAGTCAAGCATCAATTGTCGAAACTGTCTACCACATCCTCATCACACTGCCAATTAAAATGCTCATTAAGCCTTCTACACCTACATCCAATTATTTAATGAATGAAATCAATTAACTAGCTGATTTATTAATTAAAGATTATAAGGAGGATCTTATGAGATCGCTACAAACATCTTACACAAGAAGACAACTGCTACATAGACAAAATTGAAGCAGCACACAAATAGAAAGATAAATATAAAATATATTATTCTCAAGTAAAATGATATATAAAGATGCCTATAATTTCAAGGTATTACATCACCTACCCTAGAAAGACTATCCACAAAGCTATTTCCATATAATATATCATGATATTAATTCCATTTATCAAGTTAACAATAAAAAGATAGGCAGAATTAAAGAGATAATTAAAATTGCTAGTCATGTGATTACAAAGTCTCATAAAATACATTATCACATGGTTTCCACATGATTACTTCACCCTTGCTTTACCTTCGAGGTAACAGCTTCAACTTCTATGGATTTTTGTCGGAGTTCTTTATCTTGGCGGTCAATCTCTGTTCGCAGTGCCTCAAGCTGACCATATGCAATGTACAACTCTTCCCTCATTTGCTTAAGCTCAATTTCCAAACCTCCTCTGATTGAATCACTCTCTGAGTTTGAAATATTAGAAATCTGAAAGGAAACCAAATTAATTCACAAATTCATCTCATAATCTAAAAAATGGTTAAGGTATTATATAAATCAAGAATTATTATCATCATAAAAGTGCATTCACACCGAATTCAAATTTTAGGATTGAACAGCCTACTGAACTGATCAGAATATCGAATAGGAACACTGGTATTCAGGGCATCGGAAACACGGTGTGAAAGCAGGTTATTTTTACAATATTAATACTTGCATGGTTATTCAGCCTTCTAATCTTTCTCAGAATCGTTACTATTTTATTATTAGGGTCAAATTACCAAAAAAAACGTGCAGAGAATGGGTAATTACTTTACTTTACCTTATTAATATAATGACTGGCCCTGGTTAGTAGGATAAATATAAGGTTTAGAATAGTTATAAAGAAAAATGTATATATAAATAATATATAAATAATAATTTGTAAAGCGCCAATATCACTAAACCGAAGTAAAAATCAAAGGCGCTGTGCATGTTCAGATGTTAAAAAGGTGGGCTTTGAGTTAGGTCTTAAAAACAGCAACTGAAAAATCAAGATGAGAAGTGACAGAGGCATTGATTAAAGTGGCAGTAGTGTGCTTAGAGAGATATTTCCTGATGTTAGCAATATTGCGTAGGAGGAAATTAACTGTTTTAGTGATATGACTAATATGATTGTTAAAGAAAGAGAATCATCAAAGGTAACACCAAGATTTCTAACAGAGGTTGAAGGATATATACTATTGTTTAAAGAAGCATTTGCTATAAGTAGGCTACACCAATTGCTTAAAAATGAACTGAAAGTTTCAAAGGAGCTTTCTTTGTTTTTGTAGGTAGCTTTAATCAGTAGGGTAAGAATGCTTTGATCTTTAGTTTATTCATAGCTATGTCACCTATTAGGGGTAAGTTTTTGATTGATCAAACACTTTTGGTACTTGTGCATATAAGCTTGCAAATATGGATAATTTTTCATTCCTGATGATGACATAATTAATGTCGAAATATTGAATCCCGACACGATTACGTGCATTTCGATACTTGGAGTATGTATACTATCTTATCTGAGATTAATCAGTGGACCTTTTGGTTGTTGAAGGATAAATTGTGTTAGAATTGAAATATAAAGACGGGAAGCTAATTTTGGAGCGAATGTGCTTAGGTAGAATATTAATTCAGTTTTAGTATTGTTAAGCATGAGCATATTAATAATAATAATAATAATAGATGGATTTATATAGCGCAAATAAACGAGGTCTCTATGCGCTAGACAATAATGAAGTCAATAACACAAAGAAAAAAGCCGGGGAAAAAAACAAAAAACACCAAGCTAGCTTCCAAACCGAAGTATGGGGTTACACCATCACCGCCAACCGGGATCTGTGTGTATTAGCAGATAACCAGGATGAAATTTCAGACAATCATTTTTCCAGTCGTTGCATTATTAAGTGAGATTCAGAGGAGTAAAAGTCAATGTAAAGTTGTATGTCATCAGCATACAAATGGTAATGTAAGTTATTTTTCTTGATAATTTCAGTTAGAGGAGATATATAAAGGGAGAAAAGCAGAGGTCCTAAGATAGACCCCTGGGGAATTCCACAGTTAAGTTTCTTTGGAGCAGATTTAATATTATTTATTTTTACGCACTGGGTACGACCATGTAGATAAGAACGAAACCAATTAGGGGCGCAGCCTGACACTCCATAATGTAAAGAAAGACAATGTAGAAGAATGTTATGATCAACAGTGTCAGATATAAACCCACTGTACAAATTATTAATTACTAATTATTATTATTGAATTATTTATAAAACTGAGTTTAAATTTAAATATAACAAATTTATATTAAAAATGTCTAAGAACAAACTACTGTAGCAAATATTTACCTTGGACTAAACTAAATGTTTAATTTCTTCCGTTAAATCCAGGATAGTTTTTTCCGTTATTGCACCTAATTCATCATCTATATCATCATCATCATATCCAAATTATTAATTATCATTGTTGAACTATTCATAAAACTGAGTTTAAATTTAAACATAACAAATTCACACTATAAATGTCTAAGAACAAACCAGCAAATATTTACCTTGGCCTGAACTAACTGCTTAATTTCTTGTATTAAATCCAGGACAGTCTTTTCTGTTATTGCACCAAATTCATCATCTACATCATCATCATCTTCTAAATTATCATCTTTTAAAACTGCAAAGAGTTGCAGAAGCTGGGTATAAATTCCACCAAAATTATCCTGAAAATTAAAAATAACATTAACAACTGCAATGAAAATTCAATAGAAATGTAGCTAGAGCATTTCCATGGGCATAGGCTGGGAATGCGGGAGAGCAGACACCCCCCCCCCCCCATGATGGCAAATTAGTTCTACTAAGGTAGGTTAATATACTAAATACGACCATTAAGTTTTCATTGGAATAGGGATTTAGTTCCACATTCCCAGGCCATTGCACACCCCGCCCCCCTCACCCCAGACCAAAACCAGCCTATGCCCCTACTTTCAATTACCTTGTTTTAAAAATGATTAATCAATTGAGTTGCAATACAAATTAACAAAGTTGTTGATTAAGCAGAAAAAGAGAAGGCGACTATGCCCACAGCAGTCGTGTACATCACAGATTTTAAAGAGTATTTAGTAAATCTTATCACTTTCAACATTTCGTGAATGGTAATCAAATGAATCATCTTCAGGCAAAAAGAAAATATAAAGGTTGTAAACATGTACTTTTTATCTGTCTACGACAGGTGCACTGAAACAACTATTGGGAGGATTTATATGGGATTAAAAAACGTTACGATAAAATCTATTATTGCTCTTTAGGTAAACAAATCTATCAACACTCTTTACATTACAGATGTATTCTTTTGTCCAAATTTTCTGTCTTTTGACATAAATGCTAAACAATATTGATGAGCTTATCCTTTTTATTTTCTGGAAATTCAAGTAAGTAATCAAGATTGATCTAATATTATGTTGTAAGTTAAATTTTATTATCTATAAAATTGAAGATTAATTTTCCCTTGTCAATATAGTACAAAAATGCACAACATTTAGACTCTAGTAATTCCTAAAGCAAGATAAAACTAACATAAGACTTTAAAATGTGAATGGTAAAATTTTGAAAATACTGGCCCTCCAGTTTAAGTCCTTATCTGAGAAAACTTGTTCTACCAGCCAAACCCAGGGTGAATAGCGGTTTAACCAGCACCAATGTTAAGGCTATACTTAGTGGCGCCTTTGCCTTTCCACTTGGCCACTTGAGAGTTTATTGAAGATTGGAAGAAAAGAGAAGCGTAGAAAAAAGAGATTATTGGATGACTAGTAAATTGGGTGACTATGCTGTGTCAGAGAAAGGCTCAATATTGCAATGAATAGAGGAAACAACTAACTTGCTTCAAGAAGACAAATGTATTAAAAGAAACTCTACCTGAGCAAAGGCATGACCTATCGGAGGCATCTCCACTTCCATGCTGCCGCCATCATCTTCAAAGTCTTCATCGCATTCTATCTCATCATAATCCCCTAATTTAAACCCTGAACTGTAGTTTGAAACTGGCATTGACATGGACAGCTCATTCTCTAGCTCCGCCATCAGTGAGTTACTGCCTTGGAATGATTCTCCCAGAGACATTTTTAACTTAAAGTTCTCCACTTGTTCACTAAGCTGTTGGTTGTGTTCACGCAGTTCCTTTAATTCTGAATCACGTAGTCGTAACTAAAATTCATTAAAAAAAGTGTACTGATTTAAAAATGCTATTTAACAGAAAAATTCATACAATAATCTGAATGTAAATAATGAACATCTTAAAATATAACAAGGAATTTTAAAATATAACAATATAAACAAATATAACAAAAAACACAGCATAAAATAATTATTTTAATATATTATATATTTCTATCTCAACTACTGTAGTTATTCTATTTGGCTGTGTTTTAAGGTTACATGGTGAAGTAATAACAGTAGCAATAACAATAAATAGGATGATAGAACTCCACTAGCATAAACCCTGTGTAGGACAGCCTTGCAATCTACCTTCCACCAGCACCACCACCATTTGGTGTGCGACAAACACCTTTATTCCTTTATCATTAACATTTTTATCAGTTTCAGGGATTGGTTGCTGCTTTTTCTTTAGAAAGTTGAAAGTGTGCTGATATAGCAGTAGAAATTAAACATGCCCCACAAAAAATAAAAACAGTCACAGAAATTAAAAGAAACAAAAAAAAAAAACATAATTGAAACATTCATAAAGTGAAGGCCATTAATATATTGTTTGCATAAGAAGATAATCACTTAATATTAACCTACAATTTTGGGATTGGAAAATGGAACCAAAAAACATCAACAGCTTTAAATGATTATGAAACTTGTGCCATATGACATATGCTGATATACCCTAATTACTGATCATGCACATGACCTTGTCATGCAACTCAACAAAACAATCAACCACAGGCTATTATCGTTACCTTCATTAACACAATGAATAGTATCGATTAATATAGGCAGATACAATTGAGTGACATATCAAATGTCAAAACTAATGAATTCCTCGATGACAGCTTTGCCATTGTGCAATAAATATGAATAAAGTATTTAAATAATAGTACATTATAAACCAATTTATATATTGATTTAATTAAGTATATTTTTGTTAAATATATTTTTGGATAATATTTATTAAATTTTTATTTTTAATAATTGCAATAAATATGAATAAAGTACTTAAATATTAGTACATTATAAATGAATTTATATATTGATTTAATTAAGTATGATTTGTTAAATATATATTTTTTATTAACATTTAATATATTTTTAATTATTTATTCTGTCTTTATACTGAACACACTTTCAGTCATGAATCAATCATCCTCAGGTGACTTTTGCAAAAACAATAACAGAAGATACTGGTATTTTTAAACAATGGCTTAAATATTCAATAATATTCAATATTAATGAAAGGCAAAGTTAGGCCCCAAAAGCAATAAGATCCCCACGACAAAAGTCTGGAGCCCAAGAATTAGAAAACACTGGTGTCAAGGAACAGACACATTAAACTTGTGACAATTCTTCTAACATTCTAACAAATCACGGGATTTTGGTATTACAAAGGTTATATTTGAAAAGTGAGTCAGCGGTCAATGCTCCATATATTTATTTTGTTACTCTGGTGTTGTGTTGTGCGAATAGACAACAGGGATATGGTGATTGGTGGATCCATTCATTAATAATTGACATATTAGATTAATTCAATTCAACATTTATTTTGCACAATAAATATATTATAAAAAGTGTATAAAATTATTATTATTTGTAGTTGCTATTCTGCTATTTGAAGTTTAACAAAAAGCAGAATTATACAATAGTTACATTAAAATGGTGCAAAAAAAAAAAAAAAAAAAAAAAGGTTTTTTTTAAAACCTGCTAAAGGGGCACAAAAGAAAAATGTAAAATATCTACACCCCCACGTCCTCTCCCTGTAAGCCAAAACTCTCCCACCCCCCCACCACCTCCCCCTCTGTCAACCAAAACATATCAAACAAAACTTTTCTTTATCTATTAATTTTAATGAATAGTCATAGATATGTTTTTATATGGTATTTTATTGTGGCCTATTAGTTCTTGACAGTGAATGCATGTGTTTGTGATAGATACTGTATAAATCAACTACAGTACATCAAAATGTGAATTGAGTTCCTGATGTATGTAAAATGGAGCTGTTACATGTACTGATTATGGATAAAAATTTGCACTTCAAATACAATAATAGGTTACTTATCAGAAACAAGAAATTGTTGCCATGGGAATTACTCTCTGTCGGCAAATTGTCTCTCCAATATGAATTAGCGAAATTAGCAACGGATGTAATCACAGTAAAATTAGCGGCCGACATTAGACTTGGGAATAGCAGACGACACAGGGCTAGAGGCTGTTATGTCATATATACTCAGTTTTCATAATCATAACAAATGTTTATTGTTGAAATATTAAATATGAGACATATCCTTGGGAGTATCATGACGTAAATGGTAAAAAACATTATTTTCATGGAATACATTATTTTGGGCTTACAATAGATTAGGTGGAAATTTCATATCATCAGTGCTCATCTACTTTAATTTGTAATCTTTTTTATTCACAAAACAAACGCAAGCTGATTGTGGATACTTTTCTTTGCACGCAATGCAATACGCCTTTTGAATAAATCATATTCGTCCTTCAGATATTGAAATTAAAATTTATATTACTGTACATTTTAACTTTTTATATGGTATTTATCATATGAATTCAAAGTACAGGAACTAAATCCTAATGAATTCTTTTACTGTATTGACAAAATATAAAGATGATGTGCTCTTGTGAAGGCCACAGCAACGCACCTTAGCACCACCATAGAGAATCCCCGTCCCTCCAAATGAGAAATGAAGGGTATTGCAATAGCGCGCATCTGCGTGTGTGTCCTTCCGGGCGTAGTATAAAATAAACTAAACTTACTTGTGCTTCAGTTTCACGATTCTGCCTCTCCCACATGTGTGCTTTGTCGTTGGTTTCTTCGATGGAACAATTTAACGAATTCCTTTCTTCTATTACACTACTCAAACGTTTTTCCATTTCTGATTTTGCGGTGGTTAATATTTCAACCTAAAGATAAAAGAAAATTGACACATATTTATTTTAATTGTTGGTAATGGTACAAAGCATACCAAGTATTGATCGATCAATCGATCGATCAATCGATAGAAATTTTTTTACTCAGTGTTGCATTTAAGAATTTCATTAAAACAACTTAAGCTAGGCAATCATTGCACCGTACAGCCATCGTACGACAAATAAAATTCCGCTGCTTGTGAGAACTAGATGACGCAAGACTGTTTGCGGATTGTCAGTGGCGGTCTAAACGGATCGTCATTAAAAACGATCTATTACACGCATTTGTCGTGGCGTTGCATTCTCCATAGAATCATGTTAGCCGTAGTGAGTACCCGGCTTTAGAATGCATTAACTGACCTTACAAATCTTCAAATGTTTTAATACCAGAACAATATGTAAGCCTGTATGATAAGTTTAGTTTGAAGAATTCAAACATATTATTGGATGATGTTGAAATAAATAAATAAATAAAAAAATAAAACAATTTTTTATGAAATGACATAGAAGAAAGAAAATAATAGGATGAGTATTTGACACTACACAAAAATGTTTTTTATGAAATCTCTTAGTGTTATTTCTAGAGAATTTGTATCACAGTTACTAAGTTGAAGGAGATGACATTTTATACAAATATTATTATTTTTCCATTTTTTTTGTTGGCTTTGTAAGAAATTCTCAATTCAGCCATTGGCTGTAAAGGAATTTTATTTGGGCACCATTTTGTTATTATGTTTTATATTGAATAAAATATATAGATTGGAAGAAGTACTGACCTCTTCTCGTAATGTTTCCAGAAGATGAGTATGGCTATGCATGGTTGACTTCTTTACATTTACTTGTTCTCGTAATTTTTCAACTTCATTATGTAATTCAATCTCTGTCTGTGATGCCTGTAAAAATGAAAACATGTGAATTTGAAACCAGTAAGCTTATTTTAATGTAAATATCAGAGCGTAGGATTCCCAGTTGCTTCCTTTCAGGAATTGCCAGGTAGGAAATTCCATGTCAGGGATTACTACATTGTGCAAGATAGACAAATACAGTATTGTGATTTACGTTAATGACAGAAAAAACTAGAGCAATGATAATGAGAAAAAGACAAATTAATGACATCTGAATTTAAGAATGCATAATCTCATCTACTTTCACTATAATACTGATTAATTTTAGTGACAGATTCAGTATATTTACTAAAATCTTACCATTATTGTTATTGTCATCAAATATTAAACTCATTTTGATAATTGTCTTTATCAACTGTGATGAATTGCTCTCCATTAAAAAACATGTATCAGTAAAATTTGTAATAAGTTTTAACATAAAAATTATATTTGAAATTTTTTGGCATAAGAAAATTAGCAGAATATATTTTCTGTAAAGATTATCTTATTACCTGTTTTAATTGTACTGCTAATCGTTGGTTTTGTTCCATTAAATCATCTATTATTTCTTGCCGTTTGCGGTCTGACGAGCGCATGACAGCTTCATGGTTCGCTTGCTCGTCTTTTTGGGAGATAACTTCATCTTGCAGATCTAGCAGCCTATTATCAAACTCCGTTTGAAGCTGTTCTAACTGTCGACGCAATTCATACTTTTCTTGCTCAGAAACCTACAGAAATTCATAATATAGAATTATAGATAATGAACATAAATCTGTACATCTAAAAGCATTAAATAAAATGCTGCGAATGATGTATGCTTGTCTGCATACCAATGACAGAGGGGTTCACAGGGGGAACCTCTTTTTCTTTCTCCTTAGTATTAAACACCTGTCCCATTAGGCGATTGTTTTTTATAATAATATTTTATTTTTGACCAATTAAAACACCTACTGCCACGAAAAATACAAATTTTGGGAAAAAAATAAAAGTCACCACCCCCCCTCCCCCCACCCGGACAATCTTTAAAAAAAATGTTCGAGACACAACAAGGTATAAAAAAAGTCTCGCCTACAAACAATGTATCTCAACTTTGTATCCTTTTATCTTTGTTTCAAAATCATGTGTCATCCTGACATGGATAAATAATGTTAAATCATGGACCTATTAACAGGTCCATGGTTATATACCCAACAAATTATTACTGTATACTGTAGGCCTAATGCCAATTTTAGTAGCATAAATTATAAAAATCATAATTATTAGTAGTAGTATTAGTAGTTTTCCACATCCATGAACAATATCATAATCGGCAATCATACATTTCTGCGACTAATCCCACAAATGAAATTAATGTCTATACAAAAGGTGTTATTTCCACTACAAGTATTTACATACAATAGTGGAAATATCAGAGCTGATGCTGATAAAGTACTTTGCTTCATAGTACTACACATACTTCTTACATTTCAGAGAAAATCTGATATTATGAAATGTCAAGTATGATTATTAAAATTGAGTCAGAACTTGCAATCTTATAATGTAATGGATCACATACTGTAAGCACTCGCTAATCTAGACTGATGTCTGTACAGTACACAACAGATTTCGCTTATGCGCAGACATAATATTATTATGGGATATATGTTATGTTTTGCATCCTAAAATTCAACATGTTTTATTGCAAATAAATATCTGAAGTTTATCATAATATGTTAATGTTAAATAAAAAAAAAAACTTATTTAATAGAAGTTTAAGCACTAATTGATGACGAAGACTACTGATTGACATATTGATTGATTGATTGATTGACTTAAACGTACAAGAATAATCAGATATAAAAGATTTTTTGTTAATAACTACTTAGAATTATTATCATTGTACAAACAGGATCTTCTCTCTCTTAAAATGCGATAAATATGTTTTAAATATAATAGTACAACATTGCATTTTGTTTATTTATTTTTTAGGTTAAATTTAAGTATGGTAGTTTTTTTATGTGTGTCAAAATTTTAGTTTCTAATTTAGGGGCTTTTTTACTGTTTTTATATACATATTGTTTAAACAAGCTTTTTGAGTTTCCTTGGTGTTTCATTTTCATTCATTTCTAATTCATTATTATTTTACTTGTATTTATATGTGTTTTTGAGAATGAATAAAATTACTGTAATTTGAATTTGAAAGAAAAAAAATCACCCATACAAGTTTAACCAAAATTAAGCAACACAGAATATAAAACCTGTACAGATGAATAGGAAGGCTAAACAAATGTATTAAAATGGTCCTTAACATGGACTGAATTTCTAGTGGTCCTTATGCAAATACTGTGCTAGTGACCAGGATACATTTTGGCTTTATTTACAATTGACAGATATATAAATAAGAGCTTAGGGTTCTTACATTCTAACACATGATGTCCGGGAAGATAGTGGTGTTATGAATTTATTGTTTACTTGTCATTAAAAAACCTTCAATTTTGTTAATTCAGTTGGTTGTTGATAAAATGCATGAGAGATTCTTTGCATTATATTTTAATGTGAGTAGCTTAGCTCAGTCAACTAAACTGGTGGTACATGATGTGTGCTAACTGTAAAGCCTCTTCCAGATCTGTGGTTCCTGGTGTAATTATCTCTATGATGTTGATCTACCGTAGGGCTAGCTAATTTTACTAAATCATTTAGAATTTTGTCAAAATTTTACATAGTATTTGTAAGAAAAAATAATTTCACTAATTTACAGTTTTATATTATAGCACCATATTGACAGATCCACATACATTGTTAAATAAATTAAATTACAATCACATTAAACAGAGACAATCAAATTCAACACACAGAAACAGATGTGGCACTTAAGTTACTGTATAAAATAAACATGTCTTTTGTTTCTTAGAAACTCAGTAAATTCAAGATTCAATATAGATTTTACTGTCTATTAAGAATCTCAACCCACTCAACCCAATTTTTAAGATCGCCAAAACATACGTAAAAAAACTTATAAATAGAAATAAATAAAAATACATATATATAAAAGAGTTTTACTGTAATATTAATATTATTATTTTATTGTAATATTTGAGGTAAGTTAAAATTTTTCCTTTTCAAACCTGCTAACAAACATATTATTAGTAACTACTCTTTAGAATTACAGTATACTGTAACCAGTAATGAAGATTCAAAAATGACTAAATAATAATTCTGTACTTATAAAAAGCCAATGAAAAACAATTAAATTCTTTGTTCTTGTCCATTTTTTTATACTACCTCATTGTTTTATTCCCCAGATTCCTAATCCTTATAAAATGCCAGAATAACCCTTTCAACTCCCTTTTGGGGTGTTCCTGTCTCATGTTCTATATACTTGATCCTTGCTGTTTTATAAATTTTTAGTGTTTTGGGTGAATTAAATGAAATAAAATGAGACGGTTTCTACGTTAACCATGAGAATATTCTGTAAAAACCCCTAAAATACACTGGACATTTTAAAGTAATTAGTATGTCACTAATAGCACTCTGTCCAAGTTGTGTGATATGTCCATATATGGGCATGGTGGTGTCATATCACATCCAAATATGGGCATATCACATTTATTTGTTACATACAATATGATAGCATAGACAGAGCCTCTCAAGGTTCATACTTATTTCAAAGTACTATATTTCAGTTAGATTTTTGCATCAAATGTTGCTAAGGAAATATATTGGTTGCTAAGATTACACAATGTTGCCCACGCTACATTAATCATGTAATACCTCCTCAAGAGCTGACCATATAAGCCCTATTTCAAAGCAAAAGCTGCCGTAAAACATAAAAAATAAGACAGTTATTATTTATGCAATTTTTTATCAAGGGCATTTAGTAATATGGTACATTTTATAGCCATTGCTCAGTAGATATGGCATAATACATTACAGACCTACGGTATGGTTAAATTATAAGCTAAAACTGAAGTTGAATCTCGTCCTAATTCAGGGATTTTCCTCTCACTAAAACAAAGCCTAGCCTTTCATTGAGATTATTACTAGTTTAGCTCTGTGTGGGAATTCCTACAGTATGTTAGTTGAGGATGAATGGCAACATTTTAAATATGTAATTCGGTGAATGATATATGTGGGCATGATTATTACATTCATTCTGCATATCATAGCACCAGTTGATAAAACTTATTCAAGCATAAATTTATATTCAATATTTTATTATCCCATTCAGGAAGCCTGTACAGCATTTACAGAATACAAAAAAGCTATATATATATATATAGAAATATGTTAGACTAAGCAAACTGACATACTGTACTATGTGTATATAATTTATTTAACCAAAAGCATAGTAATTGCAGTTAGGTCTATAAAATATAAAACACAAAATATATTATAACATTAAAACCAGGATGATCCTATTAGATCATAACAATATTCTTTATTGTACTGTACAAGTTGGAACATTTGAGTAAAGCTGTTTATTATTTTTTAGTAATTCTGAAATTTAATTATCTGTTTTAACTGCCTTCAACAGATAAAGAGCCAATGCAGAGAAAATGACATATTCAAAGAGACATGCTCTTGCATGATATGAGATAATGTATGCTTTGTTGAAACAAATAAAAACGTATGCGCCACTTGTTTGCTTTTGGATTAAGCATCTTCTCAACTGGATTGTACAAACACATTATTCACAGTATTTTAGGCCGGAATACACGTTGTTCTGTTGATAGATGGTATCTAAGTCAACAATCCCCAGTAAAGTCTGTGGATATTGATCTGTTTGCTATACGGATAGTGATAGTATATTATATTATAAGTGCGATATTTTTGCAGCATAACATCTTTGCAATAATACAGCATGTATATTTTAATATACTATGGAAGTAGGTGTTTCATACCCAAAAGGCCATCAAGCAACAACAGACATACTGGTATTACTACTGTATGAAATAAAAATATGTTTCAAAAACGTCGAAGTATTGTACTACATAGCACTGTACTATCAAAATATGGTGTTTTAACTTGGTCCAAGTTAAAAAATCATTGGTTCGAATCCAAAATTGGTCATAATTATATTTGTGGACAACATCAGTCTGGTACTAATTTACATCATATAAACATCCCTGCCCCCCCCCCTTCCCCAACCAATGATATTCCCCAGAGAATGGAAAAGGTAGCACATACAGTAGCTACTTAAGTAATTTTAAAGAGATGTGATTACAGCTGAAGCACTATTCTAATGACTTTACAAAATTTATGCTATTTAGTATTATAAAATCAGGGATAATAGCTGTATTATGCTATCATAACATGTACTACAGTACGAGACATTCTACTATCTTTTATCTTATTCTTCCACCATCATGTTACAGTAAAGAAAATACATGATACAAATTTTTCAATACTAAAAATAAAGCAACATAATTATTATTTATGTACAAAATATTTTTCAGAAGTGGAATCACCCATACTTAACCAATGTTTTTGTCATTATATAAATTTGCTGTTCATATCTCATCTTTAACAAACCTGGAAAACCGATAAGATTTGAGTTGTTGATACGCTTTCATAATTGTAGCATCTCCGAAAATTGTACACAAAACAATGACAAAAGTCTTAACACCATAGAAATGACAACAACAACAACCACAAACTGATTTACACCTGAATGAGCCTTGTTAAATTTAACAGATTTTGAGCTTGTTTTCATTTAAGTACTTACAGTAATCTGTACTGTTACTTAATTTTGTTGTTCCAAAGACTACACAATAAAATGAAAAGTGTCATGAAACCATTTTTCATTGTGAATGAATTTGAATTGTGGCTTCTTTAGTTTAATTATAATTTGTTCATTGAAAATGGTTCTATGATGGACCGAAAACATTGAAAAATATTGTATTTTTCACACTTACTGAAATTAATAGCTAATATTAATAATTACAGTAATAAGTTTACAGTATTACTATAATTTTTTTCATATTGCAAGTAGGTCAAATATAACAGACTGCATATAACCCTTGTAAAACATATGCTCTTTAATAATGATATAAATATGAATAACCTCTAGAAATTTTTAACATCGATTTTTCTTTACTGCACATACTGAGACAATAAATTATAACTTCATAAAATTCTTTCATGAGAATCAGTGAATAAAAAAAAATGACAATTCAAAATTTGAATGACGAAAATACTGTATATAAATATTAATATACCATATTTTATTTTATATACTGTAGGCCTAGAGTACTACAGTATTCCTATACAGTATTAGCAGCTGTAGAATCAATTACACATGACAATTACTATAGAAGGGTTTGGTCAAAGTTGACGCATCATAGTTTCTTTGGATGACGAAATTGTTCATATGCAGTATTATTGATCTGTGTATTCTACCTGCATCTAGAATGAACTTGCTAAATTGCTACAATTCTATTCCACTATCATAATTAGATACAAATCCGTTTCCAAGGACGTAAACCTAATTATGTAAACAACAACAAATACCGTATTGGTTATATTTATGAACAGTTTACGGAAGTTCATGGAGATAATTTTTTATCACGTTTCACATGCCACATCACATATTTCAGACAAAATTAGTAAAATTAATGGAATATTATCACTAGATTTCAAACTAAATACCTTTTCTTAAATTGTGAAATCATCATTGGTTAGCACAAAAATATAAATTAAAAATTTCAAAATGATTTGCCAAATAATTAATCACTGTATACACAAATTAGCTACACAGGGTGACTACTATATTTGTTATTAATTACATCAAACATGAAAGCACCATTTGTATTATTGTATATGATTTTTTTCGGGAATAGATGTGCACTTTGTGGTTAGAGTATTTTCCTTAAAATCTCAGGGTCTTTGGCTCAAATCCAATACAACACCATGACTGTTCATCACAGACTTAAAATTCCATTCATTAAAGTGCCTACTTTATTTTATTTAATTTACAAACCAAAAATGTAGGCCTATCTATTTGAATTACAAATGTTCAATTGTTCAACTTACCTCTTTCACCTGTTGAATTTCTTGAGCAAAATCTTCTTGCTTTTGCAACAATAGGTTATTTTCTTCCAAAAGTGCTTTACCTAGTTCAGCCGCCAATACCAAGTCCCGTTCCTTCTGAGCCAACTGACTGTAGACATCTTCCAACTCTTCCTCATGCTTCCTTGTACTGTCTATGGAGCAATCCTGCAGGATGTCAGAGTCTAAAATGTCTTCCCTTTCTTCATTGTTATCCATTTGGAAGAAATAGTTGTTTTTACAATAAGGTATTGGAGCAGAACCATGCAGCATTGCAGGGATAATTGAAGATGCTCAAGAGAGAAAAACACCAAAAAATATTTTCAACTGATCAAAACATAACTTGTATCGCAGTTTAGTAAAGATGTTACTGCATACCAAAGTAATCACACACGTAGAACTAATATCAAAACCCTGCAAAAAAAAGCATTAAAATACATAAATTAATAAATCATATTAATTAAGGAATTAATGCAATTTGTGGTACATCAAAAAATTCAAACTACAGCCAATTACTACCTTTAATCTTCTATATTATAATCAACTCTACAGGCATCTGGTTACCTATTGTGATAAGCACTATATTATTAACTGATTCAGAGTATTGCGTGCAAGTGAATGCAGATGAATCAGCTTCAGTGACTGGTCATTAAATACACACTTAAGTGGGTGGGAGGTGACGAACATCCAATCAAATCTTGCGTACAATATTCAGGTCAATGTTATGTACATCAGCATTAATTCAAGACAAGTTTTCAAGGTAGAAATGTTTTAAATGTTAATTCACTGAACAAAAAATATCCATTCTATTTTTTGTAACAGTAAACACTGAAAAGAACATGTCAATAAAACTAAGTTTTGATTCAGGTCAATGCTACTGTATGTACATATCTCTTAGCATAATCAGAGTGAATCTTTAACCCAAAACAACAGAAATGATTCACTTTGTTAAACAGTAAACATTGAACCAATTAAATGCCATAGTGTGGAGATTGACTGTTGATGAGGTACTAATTGGTCACTGAATACCCCAAGATATTTACCTAGGGGATGACCTGAACAATAAAAATGGACATACTGTACCTGTAGTACTGATAAGGGGTCATGGTTTGTTTATTTATCATGTTTACTTTTATCCTATATCTAGGCATGGAGGTGAACCTCCATGATCTAGGGTATATAGCTAATGATTAATACAATTAAAACTATGTAAATGTATGCTAAAGTTCTCTTGCCAAACTACCAAATTACTGTAGTTTACATTTATATTGTTAATAAAACTAAAAAAATAGATGTATAAATTACATAATTTTAAATTAACATAAAGAATAAAATTAATGAGAGAATTACTGGTACTCTATATTGGAGTTGTGTTATTTTATTGAACTGCCTTAGACTTGTTACGCTAACACACCGCACATAATTTGTAGTCATACTGAATAATTTTATTAGACAAAACATGTGCTACATAAAGTAAGACTGCCAACAGTGTCCATGAATCCTGAGCCCATTTGTTTTTATCAGAATCTTATCACAGAAATTGATAAACTATGAAAGTGATGACAATATGATTGGAGTAATCAAGAAGAATGTTTTGGTAGGTGGGGAATAAGGGTAGTATTCATAATGCAAGGGGAGATGGGATAACAATCACAAAGCATGTAGGACAGGCAGCAGGGGCGGCAGAAAAAGTATGGCAGGTACAGCGGCCGCCGTACTAATATGACAATAACAAAATTAAGAACTTGAGTGCTATTTCTGAGCATCTAGATGTGTAAATTTTACAAAATTTTCTAGTTATTGGAGACTCTCAATCCGTACCAATCAATAAATGCTTCTGCCGCCCCTGGGGAGGGTGACACTCATATCCACAGTAGCTGATAGATTCAAGCATTTGGAAGCTTTGACCCGGACCCCTACCAAGCAACCTCCTATATATCCATCCATTTTGGTTATGATCCTTTTGGCTAATGATTTATGTCAAATTATATTTTGCCCTCCCTGCCAACACTTCATATGTCCCTGTCTTCTCCCATCCCCACACCAATAATTTCAACAATCCTGGTGCCGCCACTGGTTTATCAACCAAAGAGTATAGAATAGAATGGCAAGAGGACAAAGTATCCTGATTTTGCATGTGCGCAACACCGAAATGAAATGAAAAGAACAACTTTTATGTACATATCTTTTCTTTTCAAAATGCCCTCCAAGTCCCCCCCCCCACCCCCGTCGGACATAGCTCATCGGGCAGTCAGACCATAAAAAAATATATAAATAGGCCTACACCACACAAGTCTGTCACAGTCTGAGAGTGCCATTTCCAGCCATCCAGGGGTTGCTTTCTTAAAAAATCTCATTTGGAAAGGGGAAACCCTCTCGCAACCTGCTCGGGCATACGATCTCAAGTCCCGTCGGACAGCTTAGCCCCCCCCCCCCAATTTTAAAGCCGCCACTGCCTGTACCATCCTTTTACTCTGGACCCATCAGCTTTCATTATCTCCTAAAATAAGAATTGTTGAATGAGTCCTGAATGAATAATCCCTTAGTACAAGTGGCTAAACTGGAATGTGCAGGCAAGTTCGCCACCACAGCAACACAGGACTCAAAGCAGTGGCGTGTCTAGGGGGAGCGCTCTTCCCCCCCTCCAAAAAAAAATTATTCACGGTAGTAAGTAATCACCTAAAATCACCTTATTTTGCGAATTAGCGCGCCCCTCAACTGATCAAGCCCCACTTCACCTTCACGCCCCTCCACCTTCAGCACCCCCATTCAAGACTTCTTAGATACGCCACTGACACAAAGAAGAAAATGAAGAACCTCCAAAAAAGTTCAAATGTCAAAAAGTAAATGTATGATGAATGAAAAACAGGAGCGGATTCAGGATTGGTGGCAGGGGGTGCGTGCAAAAATTTAAGGAAATAGTACATGTAGATGGCCAGAAATGACACTTTTATATAGTAAAATTCATCATCACATCACCTTTATATAATCAAAGTATCAGAGATTTTCAGCAAACACAGAGATCTAATTAGTGTGTGTAATGTACACAAAAAAACTTAAAAACATTCTCTTTGATGTATTTAGTTTACTTACAAAGCCGCGAGTCCACAAACACCTCAGGCCACCATGGTTGGGGCCGAGGTGATAAAATATGAGGAAATAGTACCTCAAGATGGCCGGAAATGACACTTTTAAGTAGTAGAATTCATCATCATCACATCACCATTATAATATAGTCAAAATAAAGCGCCAACAAATTCTCATCCATAGATATCTAATAAGAATTTGTGCGATGTACGTTACCATAGAAAATAAAACTTTAAAACATTGTTTTTAATGTATTTACTTTACAGTACTTACTTCAAAACCGTGAGTCCACACGTCTCTCAGCTCCACCACAGTTGGGGCCGAGGTGGTAAAATTTGGGGAAATTGTACCTCTAGATTGGCGGATATGACACTCTTATATAGTAAAATTCACCATCATCAATCTAATTAATCACTGTGATGTACCATAGAAAATACTACTTAATGTGCCGAAACCCACTCTTATCTTTGCACGCTTTTTCTCATACTTCTCAAATTATAATAAAGGCATGTGCACTCGATTAGAGTATTATAGGAAATTCAGATGTTTGTGGGTAGAGATACAGTACAGGTATCTTGCTATAAAATAAGATGTACTCTGGCTGTACAGCGCGCTTTCATTAAAAACTGGGTCATTTATGCATTTATGTCAACAATTTACAGGCATCTTCTTGACTCAGTGGGGGGGGGAACCAACCCTTCCCCCATAAAAAATGTGTGAGGGGACATTTACAGGGGTGGCGCCAGCGGGGAGAGCTGCAAATTGCACTCTCATGTACCTTAAAAATCTTACCAATGATTCATATAAACAATATAATACAACAATTTTTTTCTTAATACAACTCTGCACTCCCCCACCCCACCCACATCCCCAGAAGAACAATGAAAATTGAGTTGCTATAAACATGGACATGGCAATGACAGAGAAGACCACAACAGTGTTTAGTAGGCCTATCTTTTAGTGTGTGTACCTCAACCTCAACTACTTACAAACAGTGCAGTACTACTCGTCCACTTCCCTCCGGTCATAACAATTTTAGAGAAGACAAACAACTGCCTACACCTCCATCATGATTCCAAGCAAGAAAGGCATCACTGTCGCAACTTACCTTTGTCAAGAAGTATAAACCAAATCAAACAGTAGTAGTAAAATACCTAGTAGTACAATACCTTAATTTACCATAATTACTGAACGAAATACAAAATTAAACCCACCTAACCACCATAGCATACTGTACTCTAACTAAATAGCGATGACAAAACAGTCCTTTTCAATACTACAGGCTGTTTGCTGTCTCTTATACACATCTAGATGTGTATAAGAGACAGGTACAGCGGCCGCCGTACTAATATGACAATAACAAAATTAAGAACTTGAGTGCTATTTCTGAGCATCTAGATGTGTAAATTTTACAAAATTTTCTAGTTATTGGAGACTCTCAATCCGTACCAATCAATAAATGCTTCTGCCGCCCCTGGGGAGGGTGACACTCATATCCACAGTAGCTGATAGATTCAAGCATTTGGAAGCTTTGACCCGGACCCCTACCAAGCAACCTCCTATATATCCATCCATTTTGACATCAGACCCCCCCCCCGTTGGGAAAATCCGATCGCCACCCCTGGGGCAGATCCAGAGATGTTTAAAGAAACGGGTGAGGGGGAGATCGAGAGACAACACTACCCTGGGGCATTCCCCCGGGAAATTTTTGTTAGATGTCATTTTTGGGGCGATCAATAATTTTTTTTTTTTTTTTTTTTTTTTGACTTTCCAAAAAGGCAACCTCCTAAATCCGCTCCGCCCGTCCCTGGAGCAAGAACATCATGACTGATCTGGAGATGGGGGTCAGAGGGTCCTGACCCTCCCCCTCCCATGGGCCAAAAAAAAAAAAACAAATTTAGACCTACCTTTTCAGGACCCGTGAGCTGAAATGTTTTTGTTAGGAAAATTACATTGGGAAAATTAGAACCCACCAACTAAAAATCAAAATTTTCCAGAAGGAGGACCTCCGACCCCTTTCTTTTTGGGGTTCATCGATTCATCATGAAAGAAAGAATAAGTAGGCCTATGTAACTACTATTTTTTTTTTACACACATATAACAGGCCTATTTACTGTAAATAAAAATGGAAAAAAAAAAATTACCTGACCTCTCATTAGGAGGGGAAAACCTTGAATTTTGAAGAACTTAAAAGTGATTAAAAGACACTTCAGGAGCCGGGAAAGCTCATTTCCTGCTATCTAGGAATCAAACTTTTCCCGGGATCACCTTTCTCTTTGGGGTACGTACATTGATTCATTAAATTGTTTCCGAGAGGAGGAAACTTGCTTATGTCAACTGTCATTAAAACACACCTCAGAAATCTAAAAAGCTCATTTCCCACCATCTAGGAATCAACATTTTATCGACCTCTTCCCCACCCCCCCACCTTCTCTTTGGGGTTCATATCAATTCATGAAAAAAAAAGAATAGGGCCTACGTATGCAACTACTCAATTTTTTTGCTACTATGAAGAACTTAAAAGTCATTAAAAGACACTTCAGAAGTCGGGAAAGCTCATTTCCTGCAATCTAGGAATAAACATTTTCACGGGGGTCGGATCATCTTTTTTGTGTGGGGGGGGGGTGGGGTGGTTGTTAGGAACATTTTGAACACCTCCTAAAATTTGAACCCAAATCCTCCCCTGCATTCCGATAAAACTGAAACTAATTATTATGTTCGGCATATGCAGTCTCAACTATCAATCAATAGTCATGACATTTTGAGTGGTGAGGTGGGTCCCGGACATTTTTTTTAAATTTAAAAATAATGAAAAAATTCCACTTCGTTTCATTCAGCATTAACGAAACGTCAGTACCGTACTCGCGCGAATAAGCGCCCCGTTTGAATAAGCGCCCCTATCGAATAATCGAGAAAATGTCCTCAAGCTCCCCGTTTGAATAAGCGCCCCTTCTAATTTGAATAAACGCCCCCTCAATAACCCAATCAATCCTGGGACTGTGGATGTTGGCATGATTTGAGGTGTGGAGTGGAATCACATTCTCCTTTAGTCAATATCAAAGTCAGGATATTTATCTTTGACAGAATGATGAGAGCTCCCTGGACAGTATATTTCCAAATTTGATCTTCTTTCATTTGTCTATAGCCTAGTCCCACTACTCTTTTTCCGACAATTTGCACCTTTAACACATTCTCATCTAAGTTGTCAAGAAAACCGGCAATGATCATGCTGTCCTGCTATTCTGCTGTTATGTAATACTGTACTCACAACATTCTTGTCATGACAAGCCATGCTCTCTGGACGATTAACTTTTCCGCCGCAGCATCATTCGTAATTTGCGGTTTCCTGATGTCCTTATTTAATCGTTTTTCATTGAAAATGTGCCTCTTGGATTTAATAAGTTCTCATAAGAACCAATCGATTTTCATATATTTCCATAAGCGCCCCCTCAATTTTCACTCTGTTTTTATAAGCGCCCCGTTCGAATAAGCGCCCCTCAAAAGTGCAAAATATTTTAAGCGCCCGGGCGCTTATTCGCGCGAGTACGGTACTGTAATCATACATTCGGGTCCAATAACGGACGACGCATGCGTAAACCACACTTTCTCAATTAAACAGTAGAGCACAGCGCAAAAGATCAGGAGGCAACAACCAAGAGAAGACAGATTATCAACACTCGAGGCTAGCTGGATAGGTGAGTTGCATCGTACTCGTTCATTAAAACACTGTTTTAGCAAAGCTCTAATTGTAGTCATTTCTCCAGAACACCTTGAATAAGTCGTTGATATAGGTAAGCATGCATATATTCGAACACTTTTATTTACATTGTTATGAACGCTTCGGCAGCTGGTACCTGGTGGTGAGGAGCAGTGACCGCAGGAGCTGCAAAATAGTGAATCAAACTGGCTAGCTCAGCTGTCAACAGGATACTGCAAAGGTACCGTTACCAACGTTGCTGGGACTTCTAATTCACCACGCCTTCTTGGGGCCTACCTTAGGCCTAGTAAGTAGAAACTGTTGAAAAGGATTACTGTTCATGCGAAAATACTTTTTAAGTGGAATGTCAGTACAGTACTTCAGTCTGTACCTGTAGTCCCTGTTGTATGTATTGATCTGTCTAGCCTAGGCTCGGCCTGGCCCGGCCCTAGGCACTTCCCGGATGGATGTGGCTGGGATACCCAGGGTGCCTTCCTAGCGTGTCAAGTGTTTAGTATTATAGTGAGGAGTTACTCTAGGGCCTAGATGTTAAATTTTATATATATGTTTCTTAGGTGTAATGTTTTTTTTTTGTGCACAGAATTACCAAGGGAGTGGGGCAAGTGATTAGGTAGCTTTTGATCGCACGACGTAGGTAGGACATAGAACGTTATGACGTCACTAAAAAAGTCTTCTGTGCATGCACAAACATTAAGTTCTCATCATTCTAGGATGCAGCTTGGCCAAATCTGCGTATGCAAAGAACATTGTACACCCGGTATGACTGTCACGCATGAGTGATTCTATTCTAGCATCACATCGTCAAACAAATCAAAAGCTCCCTAGTGATTGGGGTAGAGGAATTGAAATTAGTTACCCGTTGAAAAATTGGAAGCATGGATCCCCATTCTCCAACGCCTCAACAAATTTGCCTATCCAAAACAAGTTATTGTGAACTAAAAGAACAATTTTGGGCCACCATAAAATCTCTCCCCATGAACCAAGGGATTTTATACCATGACCCTGTCCGACACTCAAGCCTGGTTCTCACGAGAGCCCTAGTATCCGGATCAGGAGCTAACCGTTAGCACTAACCGTTAGCACCTGCGTGAGAACGCCAGATCAGTTAGCGCTAACCGTTAGCAGTATCCGGATACCGCTAATGGTTAGCAAGCGCTATCGGTTAGCAAGTTGAGCGCGTTTTTATCATCAACCAATCACACGTACGCGTTTACAATTTCCAGTTTCCTATTGGCCAGTGATTCGATCATCATATTTTTGGTATCCGGATCAGGATTTTCTCGTATGGACGCACAGCAGCTAACGGTTAGCAGGATCCGGATCCTGCTAAACTTGCTAACTGATAGCGCCTGCTAACTGTTAGCTGCCATGTGAGAACATAGCCTTTAAGTGGCACCTTGGTTCGGACCCCTCTGTTGGACTCAGACCACTGTTATCAATTTCTGGTGCCACGACTGGTTGGGGAATTTTTTTGTTTTAGTCTGCTTGCGGTCAACACTGGGTAGGTTGGACTTGGACTGTCCGAGAAGAGCTTAATGTTTGAATATTTTTTTAACGTGAAAGAAAAATTACATTTAAAATTAAAATTAAGTATGAGAGTGCCATGGATTTGTAAGTCCCTTTCTAAATTTTCAGCAGTATCTTAAACACAGTTTGGAATGAAATTACCCTGACATGTATTATTGATGTGTTCTCTTGTGTTTTTGGAATGTTGTCCACACCTTCATCCCCTGTATTCTTCCTCCTGATGCATAACATAACTGTTGTGACTTCAGCTTAGGCTGCACAATTTCAAAAGGTCTTTATTGATCATTTGCTGCTAATGGCAGATTATGCTGCTTAGATTAGATTACACATCACTGACAATATTATCAATGATTCAGTGGTTCTCAGCCTAGCTCCCTTTAAAAGTGTAAAAATATATTGTTGACACCCTTCCCAGTTTATTATCACACTTGGCTTATAGCCTTCAAAAGAGAAATGCTACCTAGTTCTCACAGATTTAGCTCAGAAATTACCTGTAGGTAATTTTGGATTTTGTTTTCATTACCAAAATCTTAATGTCTATAGTTTTTAAGCAACTGTGAGACTCCGGTAAAGAGCACAATATAAATGCTCAAATATTATTAATATTATTTATTATTAAGATGAGGTTTAGGTCATACATTACAAGAGAAAATTAGTATGTTAGGTTTTGAACTTTGGAACCCATATTATGTTGAGCTCTTGGGCCTAGGGTATGAACATAATTTAGCCAAGTAGATGTCTCATTATCTAAACAAAAGCTGCCAACAAAATACATACTGTAGAACACAGCCTAACTGCCATGTAACCATCTCCCTGTTGTGACCATCAAACATTTATGTAGCAGTTATAACAATTATAATTAATGTATTAGAAAGTGCATGTACATACACAATATTTTAAAATAGATTAATCAACAGAATAACATATGCTTTTGTTTTATTTGGCATGAAAATATTTACTGGTAGTCAAATTCAACTTAAGAGTAGGGGTGCGTGTAGTATGTGAGGACAAACTGTATAAAAATCCTTGAGGAGAGCAAGGAAGTATTAATATCTCCTCTATGAGAGGATATCAATAAATCCTCCATTAAGCAATTAATATCATTAAGCAATCATGAAATACATAGTTTACCAAATATAAGCAAACCCATTTATATAGCTGATCAACAACAAATTGACAAAATATAGAGAATTTTAGTTAATATTTTCAAGATGTTTTATTTTCAAGATGTTTTAATGTCAGTACAGAGAAATAAGTGTTTGGTGCACTACAATGTATAATCTACCTTTTTCATTCACAATTAACATAAATTATAACAAATATTATGGGCTTTTTATTATATGTTTGTAGTTATAACAAGTTCTTTTCATTTGTGTGTCATACTCTGAACTGCTCGTCTAAGTGGACAAATGCTACAGTTAGCTGCTCATTATTTAGGTATACTGTACCAGCTTATGTGTTTCCTATATTAACTGATTTCAATTATTAGACAGATTGTGTATTTCATTTATATGCATTGTTTGTGCTCATCACAATACAAACACCTTTTATAAACATGTTTCATACCATAATCTATTTTATTTCATTTATATTGCATAGTTTGTGCTCATCACAATACAAATACCTTTTATAAACATGTTTCATACCATAATCTATTTTATTTCATTTATATATGCACAGTTTGTGCTCATCACAATACAAACACCTTTTATAAACATGTTTCATACCATAATCTATTATATAAACAGAAGAATATACACTTGTTTTCTGAATATTATTGTTCTATAATTGGTTAGGTAAAGGAGTTGTTAGTGAGATGTACTGAGATGCAATTAAATGGAGGAAATATCACAAATGTAATCTTAATATCATGAGTCATTGAAGGTGTGATTACAGGACAGTACATACTGTATTCAATCAGGAACAGCTTCCTGATTAAATGAGCTATTTTAATTTCTGTCAAAAATATTAACAGCATAATTCTGTTTCATGAAAATTTAAATATGAGTTTAATATTGTAAATAAATAAATACATGTACAAGCAAACCTAACCAAATAACTCGTCCCAAATCCTGTTTCGGATATAATGGCCAAAGCAAGCCGGAGGGATGTCAAAATTTTGGAAATCTATTTTATTGCACTAATCTAACCTTGCTATGCTGTTATTTTTCCAGTTTTCAATGTTAAAACAACAATTTTTAACAATTTAGTGATGGTTTCTGTTGAAGAAATGACCGAAATTGTAAACTTTGAAGGCTGATTTCTCAAATATTTTTCTTTAAACAGCTGTATTACAGCTGTTAAGCTTGTTTAACTTCATAAGGAAATGATTCTTTTACCATTTTATAGCTCTCATTTTACTGTTTGGCCTTTT